ATATATATATATATATATATATATATATATAAATGTAATTGTGATCAGTTATAGTTACTGAGAAAAAATGTATAATTAAAATATAGTTACTTATGAAAATGTTAAAGATTACAAGGGGGGTAACATCTGATTTTTTTTTTTTTTTTACACACCCACATACAGATTTAATTGACTTCTTACATAAATTGCATGACTGCTCTAAAATATGAGACACCATTGTTTCAGGAGTTTAGGACACAGAGTAGAACACATGCTTATTCGATAACTGTTTTATTTCCACCTCGGGTTTATGTATATGCTTTATTTATTTATTTTAAGATTAACTGTTCTTTCAGGCATTGTTAGATGCAAGTGTTTCCTGTCTATGAAAAGATTTGATTTCAAAAACAGTATCATAGCTGTTAAACTATTTTTTGTTATGATTTTAAATCTGTATTTAAACTTAGAATGATCTCAAAAGGGGTGTTAAAGTCTGGTTTTGTGTGTTTTAAATTCAATTATTATAATCTTAATTCAAGAGATGAAGGATTCTGAAAGTCTCACAGTAATCAGTGTTGAGTAGGCTACTACTGTAAGGTTAACCCTTCCTGGTTTACATTAACATTTAGTCATTTAGCAGACGCTTTTATCCAAAGCGACTTACAAATGAGGACAATAGAAGCAATCAAAACCAAAAATGCTAAATGTTTGAAAATGACTAACAGTTGAAAACGTTAGAAATGTTTCTAAGGTTTGGTTCAGCTGTCTGGTTAATAACTGTCTGGTTCAGCTCAGCTACCAAATCTGACCTCAGAAGACTACAGAGGGTAGTCCGGACTGCTGAGCGATTATCTAACACATACTCAGTCTACATTTAAATTTGCACATAATATACCTGTTCATACAACTGTCTATTGTTATATACCTGTACATACAATTGTCGATTTGTATATTTTTATTCCTTATTTACTTGTTCTATTTTTTATTTTTTATTTAGTTTTTTTTGTTCTGTCACTGTCATTCTGTTACACTGTGGAAGCTTCTGTCACGAAAACAAATTCCTCGTATGTACATACCTGGCAATAAAGCTCATAAAGCTCATTCTGATTTAGAAAAGTAATCGAATGTAATCAGGGAGGCCTGCATTATTTTAATAAAGTAATTGAAATAGTTGCACTACTTACATTTTAAATAGGGTAACTTGTAATCTGTAACCTTTTACATTTGCATAGTAACCTACAGTGTTGGGGAAAGTTACTTTTAAAAGTAATGCGTTACAATATTGCGTTACTCCATACAAAAGTAACTAATTACGTTACTTAGTTACATTGTATGGAACGTAATGTGTTACGTTACTTTTGCGTTACTTTCGCGTTACTTTTTAAATAAGGGCAGGGCTTGATTGTTTTTAATACAAGAAGTTCTATTATATATTAGTTCTATTATCTATATAGCAAATGTAAAAGCCCTTTCACACCAAAAAGTGTAATGAATAAACCTCAGGCTGAAGCAAAAGTAAATTCACGTCTGTACAGTAGAACGCAGGAGAAGAAACACTCTTCAGCAATAAAAAAACAAAGCACAATTGTTAGTTTATCTAAAGTAATTTTTGCCTATTAGTATGGTTGAACTGGCTCATCAAAGGTCAGCAGCAAAGACATTGGTTAATAAAATGGGATTAGATACATTTGTGTTATTTAACATATTTAATTATTGCAGGTTTGAGTCATATTCTGAGTTTGCATTTCACTGTTTTAATTCATTTTGATGAATACAAAATCAGTTTTTTTTGCGAGTGGGATGAATTATTGCACATTCACATTTAGTCTAGAACTACAGTAACATCATGGTTCACACAGCGCACACAACTCCTCTGCACTTCCGATTTCTCCCAATATGGGGACAGGA